CTACTTACTCCCTCATGGAAAGCACAGATGGATGTACTATGTACTGTTTTATTTTTTTATTAAGAAAATTATTTTGAATACATTATAGTATTCTGAAGTGAAAAGGAGTTTTGCCCATAACTGAAAGCTGGATTCAGGAGACAATCCTGCTTCCACTGAAATTAAAGTCAGATTTCTAAAGATATTTAGATTTTGAAAATGCAGCTTTCAAAAGCCCTTAGGTGCTCACTCCTATTGATTTCAATGAGAGTTAGGCACCTTAAATGCTTCTGAAAATCTCACTATGTGCCTCACTAGGTGCCCAAATACCTTAGAAAATCTGGGCCGCAGGGCCAAAACTCCAATCGGTATAAATGAGTCCAAGTCTTGACTGAAGCAGGGTCCCAAAAAGTAGCAGCTGAATTCAAAACCATCCAAAGCACATATTATAGAAAGACCTGGACAGCAGAGAAACTGATTATTAAGAAAAGAGAGTGTGTGTGTGTGTGTGTGTGAGAGAGAGAAAGAGAGAGAGAGAGAAACTAAGCCACATTTAATTCACTTTGTGCATATAATAATCAATATCATAAGCTACTGACAGGAGCTTTAAAGGTAATAGAACAATGTAGATGTGAAACAGTTTTGTGCAGTTCAAAATGTATTCGTGTTTCGGTTGTTGCGGGTTAGAACAATCTGGTTTGACATTACCCTTTCCATATTGGATAGGTTAGGTGAATCAGTTTTTTGTTGATGTTCAAAGAATCTAAAAATTCCAGATCTTCTTCCCTCAGATTAAAATCAAAAACCTGTGTTTGGGGGAAATAATACAATGATTAGAGTAAAGCAGGTAAAGATAGATTGTTTACTATAAATACGCTCTCAAATAGTAAAATCAGGTTTTATTCTACTGTTAAATAACATAATAATATTAATCATGATGAACTTACTTAATGTGTATATGGGTGTCATAAGAGCTCTGGGGGTTTAGATTATAATTTAGCATTAATTAAACTGACTTCTATTTCAAAGTGATATTGAAAAACATATTTCACTTATTTGTTGCAAAGTCTGAATTAGTGTTTTGTGTTTCCATATAATAGAATTTATTTTTGTGAACTAGACTAGTAAAAATGGGTGAAATCAGGAGCAGCTTAATTCCAAAACAGTAAGAATTAATAGGTGTTAGCACCTTAGTGTCTGAATGACAAGTACAGCACTGAGTTTATTAATGCCACTGCAATAGACAAAGAAAGACAGAAAAAAAGAGAAAGTCAGCAGCAGGAAATGAAATTAGGATTGAAAGGAGTTCAGTAAGTGACTTGAAATACTTTTACCAGAAGTCATTGCATCCAAAGTCCTAAGAAACTTTACTATATCCCATCACTATGTATCTTTTTATGCACTTATTAAAATATACCAGAAGTGCCCTAGTGGTGCAATTGGATAACATAATTCTACTACATTTTTGTAAATAAGATATTCTCAAACTCACTTTTACTCCAATGATGCAAATCAGTCAAGCAAAATTCTACTGTTAGCTTTCTGTCCCACCAGCAAAGCTGACATTACTGGACAGAGCATCAGAGCTAAATACTGAAGTCTAAAGAGCAAGAATATAGTCTTAATTGAAATATCTGCCACTAACTGGAACCTCATTTATGTGTAATCCTGAAAGAAACTGAGCCAGAAGATAATTCCCTAGACAGAATGGATTGTGATAATCATTTTCCAGATAAATCGAAGGTGTGTATAGCTGTACACCAGTATTTTATGATAATCATGCTACACTGGACATTTCATATGATTAAACAAAAACATTTACTGTGCCATTAATATAAGGTCTCTATTAAAATAGCCTACTCTTTCTAAGCCAAGAAAGTCAATGTAAGCCACAGTACGGGCGGGGGGGAGAAGAGGAGATGGGGACAGGACAGCTAACCATTTATGGAACTATCATACAGTTGATATAAAGCCTTCTTTAGTAGTTCTGCTTCTGAATTGCTCTCAGCCAGCCTTGACAAAAAGTACATCAAAGATGCCCCTGCAGAGGGCTGGCTGTACAGGCTGAGCAAGAGGGCCACTGATGGCAACATTTAAAAGCAGCAAAACTTTGTGGAGTTCTTTGCATGGGTGACTGATATCTGGTACAAGTGGCCCTCTGGGCATTTGCTTAGGGCAGTAGATCTCCTAATGCTGGCCCTGTTCAGTTCACACTTAGCAGAGATCATTTGATGTTATCACTAGTGGATATGTGTTAAACAACCACTGGGTGGGGGATGCAGTAGTATTAAGACTGAGCCAAATTAATCTGAGGGTCTATGTTGGCTTTTATTTCGGTGGATGCTGAAGGTACTCAGAATCCTGGAGGTTTGAGCTCTTAACCCTCAAGTCCTGGTCCCCTTGCAAGTCATCAGAGTTGTTCTTTAATTGCTTGGCAGTAGTTGTAATTATTCCTGTTTGGTGATGAGGATGGATAAGTGTCTGCTGAATAAAGAGGCAAGTAAAGTCATGTTTATGTCATAACTATCACATGAGCTCATTACAGGGAATACAATTCAAATGCCCCTTCAGAGGCATCGCATTCTCAAGAAATGTTTGCAAGTTCAAGTCTACCAAACAGTATCACAAAGTGTTACCACTAGGTTGACCCATCTTTACTTCTGTTGGGTACATTGAAGTCAGGGACCTATTTCTCAGATCTTCAAAGCACTAGGAAGAGATTTAACCACTTTGTCTCCAATTTTGTCAGCAAGAGCAGTGTCCTTCTAGTATAGTGCTTTGAAAGAGTGGTGTTAATGTTATCAGCTTTACTGTCAAAGTAAAGCAACTACCTTTAAAAGGAAAGGAGATGATGTTTACCACAGTGCACAAGGATGGCAATATATATTTCTGACTTCTTGACAATGAGGGCTTTTGAACTTATAATTATGACAGCCTGTTTATTACATGTTGTTCAGAAAAGCAATACAGCTATCTTTAAGTTTAGATTGTGGGGAGAGATGTTATAGAATCTCTGATTTTACACAATCACTGCTGCAGCTTGGTCAGAGATGACTTATGTCTGCACTTTACATAACGACCACTGGTATTTCTCAACTAAAGGGTCTGAGATGCCTTTAATCCACATAGCAAAAAGCTTCCAAGAAAATAGACAAGCATAAAAAGAAAAGGTTAAAAAAAGCCACTCTCAATAGATCAGACAGGAAGCTACTTGGCTGGGCAGCTACCTCACCCTTCCCCTTCAATTTTTCTCCTTTCCTTATTTATTGTTTCAAATTAGTTTCCATTCCCTTAGTGATCAGCATGTTCTAGCAAAGATGGTTGATTAGACTTACATATGCAGTACTTGATTCATCAGTATTTCAAATCAGGTGCTACTTAACCCCCATTAAAGGGGCTGCTCTAATAGCTTAGTGTGTTAATAATATTGGATAACAAGTGCTGCCCTCCTCTTTATTCCAGCTCCTGTTGGCATGGCTGGAGACTACAGTGATCATGTGCAATAATTTTCTAAGCCTTAATGGATGTCTGTATAAAGGTGAAAGAATTTACTCTTTGGAGACAGTCAGTCTTACTGCATCCCATCCAATCTTTTTGTGTATTTCAGTCATTTTATCAAAGAGGCACACCATGATTCTGAATATGTGTGTGCATATACATTCATTTTGAGAAAATCTGCAAAAGCATCCTCTACCACTGCCCTCTTGGGCATTGTAATAAGAGGAAACATGAAATAGAGTTGGCTTTCAGTTTTCATACCTTTAGTGCTGATTGTTTTCTTGGTAACTGAGTCGGTGTACATCTGCTTGTAGCACAAAACACAGCTGCTCATATCTTGAAAGCAATGCCAAGTGATGCCTTTAAACTAACAGATAGCTCATTTGCCCTCTTTTCCTTCCCCACTATTTCTGATTAGTTGGACAATACTTTAAAGAAATAAGAACACTGTAAGTATATTAGGAAATTGGTATAAATACATCTATACAGAGTTCTGATTCAAGAAAGGCTGAAAGCAGCCCAGAAAATGACAAGAGTTACCTTTTTAAACAGCATTAAGTTAGTTGTAAAGTCAAAAATGTAAAATATGAAACCAATAAGCCCAATTCTTTCATGGTCCAACATGACTGAAGCCAAAAGAGACAAAGAGAATTTGTCCCAATGCTCTTAAATTAAACTAATTATTTTAGTATTAAGCTTGAGAAAACAGTTCACAAGGGAAAGAAAGCTAAAGTGGTAACATGCATTATATTCCCAGAAGCCAGGAGATAACAGGATTCCATTCTTATGATACTGGGGGAATTAATGCTTCCGAAAGGAAACAATGGGTGGTGATTAGTGATGGCACAACGTGCAAAACTGCATATCACATCAGCCTGCAAGGAAGATAACATGTCAGCTTTGTAACAGCATTATGAAACCTACATTAGCTTAAAGTACTGTGCGCTTGACTTTAAAATGATCCTTTTCAGCACCAAGCAAAAAACCAAAAAAATCCTTATATCCTGGATGACCAGGTGTAAGGGTAGTTAGAGAAATAAGAATTACGAAGTAAAACAGTTACTTTCAGTAATTGTTCCTTAAAAGGAAGCAGACTAGCAATGAGCATTTCATAGACATACTATTTCTATCAGGTAATTGACACCCAAGCCTTGTGAACATGTTCCTTGCAAGCAAAAAGAGATTTCATTATGTACATAAACCAGCCTTTAAATTTAGAAGGCATGGTTTTGTCGTCAGCTTGTATTAAATTCTATTCAAGCCACTCAGTAGAAATAAAATGTCTAGTGACTAGTTCAGCTGATTAAAGGTGCATACCCTTGATATCTAGTCCATTTAAAAGTAGTTTCAAGTACTACACCTGAGATCACCCCTCCTCACCCTCTTCAATGTATGGGGGTATAAAAAACCTTTCTGTTCCTTTCAGCTGTGATAAGACCCACTCAAACAGAACTGATTAATTGTATCCCTACAGGGAAAACAGTGAGACTGTCACAAAATGTATTTCGGTTCACAAAGTAAATATATTGGAAAAACAGAGAAATAATCCCCCCTCTAACTCTTTCAGGGTTAGTAATTTTAATTGTAGCTGTTACTTGCCCTGTCCTATGATGTGTCCCCATGTTTGGGGAACTTCTTTCCATTACCCACCTAACCATTTGGGTATCACTATTGGAGTCAGAGAGAGAGCTGACCTCAGATTTGAGCAGAAGTAGATGCTATGTCAGGTGTACAGTAACCTCAGCAAAGTGAATAGTGAGCTACAGCAAGGAAGCAGGAAGAAAGCTTGCCTCTGAAGTGATCACTGCAGCTTGTAGTGGCCTGGAGGGGACACTACAATGAAATCATGGCTTAGTTCTAGCTGCTCAGAACAGTGAGACAAACCACTGGGAATGAGAGTAGAAAATTTGGTCCTGTTCTGGCCTAACTAGAACTGTTGACCAGTAAGCTCCCTCAGTCCTTATTCTGACAAACTCCATCAATGGGAGTTTTGCTGGATTAATGTAACTAAGCAAAGGCTTCTATATCTGGCACATTTTTTCCCCTATGCATCACTATCCTTGAAAAAAGAGGCAATATTTTGGCATGATGCTTGTTTGTTCAAAGTAAGTACTGGTAAAACTCCAAACTATTTCCTGTAGTTTCTGAAATATTCCCCAGTGACAATAAGCAGAGCCTTGCAATAGAAGGCTATTGGTTCACTTGGGTGGTTCTCTTATGTCTCACAATGCATATGAGGCCCAATAAATGCATTAACAGCTTATTAGTGCACAATATGCTTTGTTTTATTGCTTAATTTGAATACTGTTTAATGAATTCCATTATACTACCTTATTGTTCTGCAAAATGACTTTTCAGTTGATGCTCACTGGCAGAAATATTTATTTGTGCGTTCTTGCGGAGAACTCTCCCATGCTCACTTTGCCACTGAATTCATGCCTGTCCTCCTTAGAAGATGACTAACGGGCCCAAATTTTAAAAAAATGGCTTCTCATTTTGGATGTCTAAATGTTATGTGCATAGAGCCTACTTTACAGATCTCAGTAACTCTGAAAATCAGGCTCCTAGCCATCTAAAGTTGGGCATCCAGAAACTGTGGCAGCCAAAATTACAGACCACTTTTGAAAAGTTGGCCTTTAATCTTAGTTAGGAAGGATCAAAATCTTTCTTAGAACACAGAGCTGTACGGGTGTAAGTGAGGGCAGCATTTGGCCTACTAAGTCTTTCCTTTAAAATTTTGGTAAATGATATTGTAATTTAGGAGATAGGCCTAGGCATATTTTTCTTTTGAATGTTGGCAGAACTAGCCAATAGTTCTGAAGGAGCTATTACCAAGAAGAAAACTTTGTCTATATTTTAATTAGCTGTGTAGAAACTAAACTTCAAGGGCAAACAACAATACATGGCAGAACACATGGTTTGCTATAAGTTGGTTCTTGATAAAAACCAAGGAGCTTTGTTTCATGATATAACTAAAACTGAACGGCAGTGGGAAAACTGCCTCAGGAAGTCCAAACACAATATAAATCATAGTCAGATTTTCCATACCTTTCTAGATACAGGAACTCCTAAAATATCAGACCAACATGATTACATGCTGAATGCTCTGTTGATAAGAGCTTGCAAATATATTTCCCAAAATATATCTGTAAACGGTATGTACACATTTTTTGCAAAAAAATAAAAGGAACAGTATGTGCTGTGAATGAGATTTCCTGAATGACTGCACCAAAGAGAAAATTAAACTAATTCTTGCTGCACAAAACACTCATCACCGCAATATGAATAAGAAAAGAGAAATTATGCAGATGTTAGATCTGTCCTGTTTCTGCTAAGTGGATTAGCTGGTTACAAACAAGCAAAACAAACTCCTGTGTCAAATTTCAGTTACTAAAAAAAGCAAAGGAAAGAAATAGACATATGGATTTTGGCTGTTGAGCGATAATGATTGTGGCTGTGCTTTAAATATTATGGGCCAAATCTGGACCCTGTGTTATAAGGTATCCTGACCTCTTGCTCCCACACACACAGCTCTGCACCAACCTGATTGACCCTAAGGATGTTCAAGCCTGTGAGCTATAGAGAATTGGCTCAAGGGGTGTGAAAATAAGGTGATGTGATGTACCTTTTGTGTAATGGCTGGAGAGTGTGTGTGTACATTTTTTATTTAATTTCATTATGAGTTTAATCTTTCTTGCCATATGCACACAAATAAAACTACTGAATGGACACTTACATGAATAAGGACAGCAGGATCAAACCCTATATTTGCAATGGTGTCAATATGTATATCCCTATTTCCAATATGAGTCTATGCCTGGCATTGGTGATTCCTTCAATGCTCTCCCTCACATGACTAAAATTCCCACAGTAGATCTGCCTCAGAAGTAGTTTAACTTGTACATTTTTTGTTCTGTGTTTCAGTTTTCTAATTCTGTTTCCACATTACTTCTTAGATTGTCAATTCTCTGGGGCTGGGGACTGTCTTTTTTGTTGTGTGTTAGCCCGGTGAGGCCCTGGTCCATGACCGGGGCTCCTGGGCACTACTGCAATAATAAAGAAGAATACAGCTTGGCTTTTTAACTCTCCTCCAGCATTCTCTCCTTCACACTTCTAACCATCTGCCTAACAAGTCACCTGACAAGTCATTTTGCACTGAATCATGTGTTTCTATTAATACCACTTTCCTTTCATTTCATAGCCTAATATTTTCTGTATAAATGGTCCGGTTCAAAGCCTAATGAAATCAGTGGGAGGCTTTCCATGGACTTTAGATCAGTCTCAAAGAGTACAAAACACTAAGTACAATATAAACTATATACAATTTACCAATAGAGCAATATTTTAGACTGAAATTTTTCACATTTGTTTGAGAATTTTATCGTAAGAAACTGTACCTTTTATATGTTACAGATTTTAAATCAGTTACAATTACTGATAGCCATCAAGTTAACAATTACATTCTACTATGAAACTGTACAAATTTAAATCAAAGTGTGTGGATGGCTGATCACTGACACAAGAAAAAAAGCTCAAACCTTGCAATTTACACAATAGAGCTTGGGTCCCAGGAAACATGCCGCCCCTCATGCATTCCATTTATAATTGCAACATCATCTTCTGCTAGTATAAAATCAAATACCTATGGGAATGCATATGTGGTTAATGTGATGGATACAGAGACAAAGCTGGACACTTCCCATTATTTAAACCCAGATTTAATTTTGTAGCAGGCTTTTATACTTCCTCTGCCCTCAAAATGATTCCTTTTCTGTTGCACAGGAATAGAACTCTAGTAAAGTGGGGTTGAGAAGCTTCCTTAGGCCCTTTCCCCTTTATTGTGACTGCTATTTACATTTAAACTTAGCTACACTATTCCCCAGAAGGGGCAGGAAGATAACAAAAAGGTAACATGAAAGCTGCTTGTGACAGCACTCTATATGGCCATCAGGAAAGATATGTGAATAACCTGATTGCTATCCCTCTGCAAGCCTAAGCTCATCACTTCTCTGTCACATACAGACACTAGGTCCAGGGAGTCACAGCACCTCACCACAGAGAGTCCCTAAAAAGTATTGGTGCTTTAGTCAAGTCAGCAAACCAAAAGCTTTACACAGATTCCAAAGTACGTATATCCCGTCAGTACTCTTGGGGAGGAAGACACACATTGTGATCTATTAGCAAAGTGCGTCATCACTTCAGAGCAGGACTTCCCCTATGGCCCACTCAGTGCTCACCAGAGCTCCCTCTCACTCCACACAAAGATGCAGTGCAGTGAGCTGCTGCCAGGCAAACTCCTCCCTCATCCTGCAATCTCTGGCTGCTGGAATGATCCCTTATAGCCATAAACTCAGTCCTCGGCCTACTTAAACCTAAACAGGGGACACACCCTAGGACTGAAGATATGTACTGCTGGCCTAAGGCTATCTTTGCTTCCTTCCCACCCCACTGTGCAGAACGCGGATCAGTCATGGTAACGGGGGCCTGGGCCAAAATGCGGAGTGAAGGAAGAGAACAAAAAAAAATAAGAAAAACAAAAGCAAGACAGATGTAGTAAATTACATTTAAAAATTACTTAATAGAAAGTTAAATGTCAAAATGTGACAAAGTGGTGCATGTTACTAATTTATACGTACACATACCCAGTGTTGGGCAATTGATTCCCTTGCTTTGGTAAAGTTCATCCTCTTTTCTGCTAACCAGTCTCTGCCAGAGAGATCTTTAGAAGCAAGGCTAAAATTTATTTCTGAAAACACATTTCTAGCTTTTGTAAAGCACCAGCACATTATTAAAAATGGTTCCTGGGGGAGGATAGATGGAAGGACTTCAGCCCACAATTTACTTGTTGAAACACTGACATTAAGGAAAAGGAAGAATCCAATTACAAGACATAATTCTGTATAAAACAAACACTGGATGTCACAAGCTGAGATGCAACAGAGGGTCCTGTGGCACCTTTGAGACTAACAGAAGTATTGGGAGCATAAGCTTTCGTGGGTAAGAACCTCAC